GCACTTAATTTTAGGCTTGAAATCAACAGGTTTCTGCATGTTACGTAGACACAGAGCAACTGCAGCTTTTGGCTAACTGATCATCTATACACAAAATCTGTTTTTTAAATTCCAAGAAGTCACTGTGATATTATAGATGGATTGAATTTTGAGAAGTGAAACAATGAAAGTGCAGTCCAAGAATGTAAGATAGCGAGGCCAGAAATATCGTGGTGTTAATGCGGCATTCAGAGCCAGTGAATCTCTATAGCAGCCTGTTTACTTTCCCTGATATATTCCAATGAGACTGTGCCAATGCCCCATCCCCCAACTAGTTTGATAAATACTTGAAAAACCGTGACCGTGAGTGTCAAAATATTAGTCCCAACCAAGGAAGAGAGCCTGAAGAGAACCTTGAAGACCCTGAAGGAGCTGCTGGCAACTGCCTCACTGCTATGGGTGTACAGGGCTGAGGGATACCGTGGGTGACTGCACTGCCAGAATCCCAGAAGAGGGATATCACAGAGGAGCCAGATGTGAATTTCAGAATTTCCTGATGTCTGAAGCAGCTCAGCCGTGAAGGTCAGCTTGGCACTCGGTCCAGAGAAAAAGGGGTGGGAGGTGAAGAAGGGAAAAGGGAAAGAACAGGAGGAGGGGAAGACAACAAATACATGTTTTTTAGAGGCTCCCAAACCACCAGAATGTGTCTACTTAATACCATTGTGGGAGGATTTTCCTTAGCTAATTAATTAAAACACTATAAAAGGGTATCAGTCTCCATAAGCCATTTAGGGACGCTGATGGTCTGAAATGTTCCATTCAAGCACCTTTCTCTTTGACTGGTAAGTGTTATAAACTGCTGTTTCTGCTCATCAGAAAAGGTTTTCTTTAAAAAAAACAGCAGCAACAAAAAAATTCTCCTTGTGAGAAATTTGTCTGTATTCATTTGCTAATATGTGACTCTACAAAAGGTTTGATTTGAGTTTCTGAAATTGCTACTGATTTTCCCTAAAAGCTATTGGACTCATTGTTTTGCTTTTGTTTTTTTGTTTGTTTGGTTTTTTTTCTTTCACCCTCTGTGCTATGCATATATATTCATGTTTAATTGTGAACACATACACAAGGTAACACTATGCAATCAGGATTTTGAAAATGTCGTGCCTTAAGAAAAGTAAATGAAGTCTTTCAGATGATATCTATTATACACACTGATGTGTGAATGGTGGTAAAACCTGACAGAGCTCCAATACCTAATAAAAGCAGTGTTGTTATAGGAGATGAATGATACCCACTGGTACTAATCATGTTTGCTGTAATGGCCTAGCCATGAGGACAATGCTTTTCTTGAAAATTTAAAATGTAACTGAAAGCTAATTCAATTGGATTTGATAAATAGAAAAAAAAATAGTTCTGGGAATGACAGGAACAAGGAATAGTTTATGTAATGACAATGCTTGGAAATCAGTAGTCGGTATCACTTTCTAGGATACCTGACTGAAAAAATGTAAAAGGAAAATATAAATGTTGCAATGAACAACGAACCGTAGCCTTACAAGTCTTACTCTGTTATATAGGAAGAATCTGGAAAAAATACCACTTCCAAGGGCACTGGAAGAGCAGAAGTAGGTTATATAGGCTGTCTTTTGCTGATGGGGTCCTCCTGAACATGCCTCACAGAGACGTGCTCTCTTGTGGCTGACAGGGCTTCACAAAGATTTGGCCTCTGGTTAGTAGGGGTTTTTAAGCAACTAACTACCTGCTTGCTAAGATCTTCCAGAAGGAAACAGCACCCCTCAGCTTCTTTGCCCCTCTGGAGGAGTTGCTCGCTCCAGACCTGGCCCCTGCAGAGATGCACGGCAGCATAGGCATGGTGCTTCTTGTTTCTCTTCCTCTCTGTTATGGGAAGAATCCTGAATGCAGCACCACAGCTCCCTGAAATTCCTTGGCAAAACTATGGAGAACTTCGGCTCAGTAGCACAGAAATAGAGAATCACTTACTCCTCCCACAGTGACTTAGGGCTGACTAACTTATTTTATTCCGTTCCTTCCAGGGGGAATCTACCATCTTTCCAAATTTTGCTAGTTGTTTCCTGATCATTTTTATACATATATGTATGTGTCTATATATACATATTTAGTAAATAACATACTAATAATAATGAAAATAAATGTATTGTTGCAGCGACGATTCTGTCATCAGTACACACATAGGAACTGATTTTTCTTCTCTGTCTTTGTACCTGCCGTGCACAATATAAAGGATGAAAGAATAGGTTAGAGATGAAAAACAGCACACTTAAATACAGTATGAACCTTATGATTTCTAAACCTTGGGAGTATGTGTGTGCCTTCACCCTTCCTTTTCTTTGGGCCTACTCTTCTTAAGGGTAACCCTCAAGAAACAAATCTCCCTTTCTTCATGCAAGTTTGCTTTGTACCTAAAAGCATTGCACAGAAATATGAAATTTCTCCTTCAAGAAGCTTTTAAAAGAAGTAGAATTAACACTATTTCTGTGTCCATTCAGAGGGGTAGGCATCCCTAAATTAATTACACCTTTTAGCCATTTGTGCACAATTATTTTGAAGTTTTACAGTGGTATCATTTATTGAGTAGTTTGATTACCTTAGTTCACAAAGGATAAAAAGTTGAAGGTATTTCTGATAATCTTGCATTTGCCTTGCTATGCTTGAGAGCAGAATTTCAATTCAGATATTTAATAAGTAAGCTTATTATTTTGATGAAATAGAACATTTATGACTTTTCAGAAAAAATGAAAACAAATGAAAACCAGTGCAGTTTATACTCATTATTTCAGCTTTTACTTCAGATTTCATTGATACTAAAACATTCTTAGAGCAAGCATGGGCCAAACAGTATTCTCAGTTATACTGCTAAGTCAGGAGCAGATCTATGGAGGATGATGGAGGATCACTGGAATTTTGCCACATATGTGAAATAGCAGTAAAACACAAGAATAACAAGTTATACAAACACAATAACCCATTTCAGCTCTCTGAAGTGACAGCAAAGATTTCCTACAGAGCTGCTTGCCAAAACTTTCAGTACCTAGAACCTGAAGATGCCAGTTTTCCTTTGGTACTGGACAAGGACTGCTGCCACTGATGTTTGAGATTTGTCCACATCAGGTTTTTCTGAGCTCCTCCTTAGAACACAGGGATTAAGACCTAGCTTTCCTATCCTGCAAGAGACTGTGCTTTATCAATGCTGTCAGAAAAAAAAAAAAAAAAAAAAAAAAAAGGAGGAAATGTGGCTTTCCAAGATTTTTTTAGGGAAAGTATCAAGTTACTTAGAGTCGCACCACAAGTCCCTGGTGACAAGGGTAGTCCAAGGCTGAACCGGGTAGTTTTGTCCGGGGCTGGGGTGTCCCGGTGTAGAAGGTGCCGGACTGTTGCGTGCCTGCAGCATAGTGCAGGGATGGACTGAGGGTGAGGGACCAACCTGCAGTGCAGCCCCCAGAGGCAAAGAGCAGAGGATCCAGGCAGCGCTTCTCCAGGACCTTTCTTACTCAGCTCTTCCTCACAAGTGAGTGGTGTTTCCAGGAGCTGCACCCAGCCTACAGAGCTGCTGGCACCAGCTCTGGCTCCAAGCGCAGGCAGCAGTGGGTGAGTATTTCCATAAAGCAGGATGTTTACAGGAATTGGCAGATCATAGTCTGAGATTGGGGAGAATATTTACAAGACAACTCATTTAATTCTTAAGTGAATTATTTTTGCTTTTAAAAGCCCGCCAGTTGGCAACTGAATTGGCATGTGGAGAGCTTCACTTTATAGAGAGGTTCAGGAGCGACTGATCACTCAGAGACATATAAAGTACCGTTTTTCATGCAGGGCTGGAAGCCCAACACAGCCCACCCTAAAATAGCCCCTTTATCTGGCATAGGTTTGCTCCTGCAGCTCTTCAAATTCAATCTAGTGCAAATGGAAAAGCTTACTGTTAGGTATTTTCCTCTTTCTTTCATACTGGCTATCAAGAGCAGTGGCAACATTCAGGAGAGCAATGACTCCTCTGATTGTTAGTTTATTTCCATAAACTTTCAGCATCTGAATGCTGTTACCTGATGGACGCTGAATATCAGCTAAGATAAGTTCACACAAATCAAGCCTCAGAGGGAAGTCTTGCTCCCACTAAAATCAGTGGAAGCTGGATCATCTGCCAATATTGTGTAAAAAGCTTCTCACCACGGATTACTTTAAAAAACAAAATTAAAACCTTTCATGGAAAATAGTAGTATTTCAATATAAGATACTCAGCCTTCCTGAAATTCCAGACATGCTCATTCTTTAAGGGTTAATAGCTGTTCAAAAGACACTTTTTTGTAATAATAATTACCGTTTGGTTAACAGGTGGCTAGTTAAGTCTTTCCACTTTCCCCTAAATTTAAAAACATTTCAAAGTAAGGTGCATCTGGACCTTAATAGAGCTGGTTCTACCTGATAAAGATGTATGGTTAAAAAGGAGTTTCTTCAGCTTTCTGACTGTAGCCTTTCTTTTCACCTCCCTCACAGAAGATGCTCAGAGGACTCTGCCTTGAGATGAAGGTGCTGCTGGCTTTGTTCTTCTTCCTCTTTGAGACACACAAATCTGTTCTCCAGAACGCTGGTATTTTATTCTCTTTTTTAATGCAATTCTTAATAGGGGAAAAAAATACCTTTGCTCGCCATTTTTGTACTAAATACTGACCAGAAGCTTGAGAGGTTAAAGAAACTTCTGTGCACAGCAGCTGAAGCTGAGTTTGGATGGCAACAGGTGAAGTCTGAGGTGTAAGATATGATGTGGGAGGTAAGGCGAGAGGAGACGTGTGAGGTAATGAGGTGTGAAGTGAGATGAAGTTTGAGGCGAGGTGTGAGGTTTAAGGCAGGGTTTGGGGGCTAGGTGAGGTTTGGAGGGTCGAGTTGAAAGGTGAGGTGAGATTTTGGGGGTGAAGTGAAATTCAAAATATGAGCTGAAGTGTGAGGTGTGAAGTGAGGGCTGAAGTGTGAGCTGAAACGTGAGGCGAGGTATGAAAAGAGATGTTGAGGGGAGGGAAGGGGTGAAGGGTGAGTGAGCTGAGGTGAGGCTGGCCATTTTCCAGAGTGCAGCCTTGCCTGGGAATGGGCTGCAGGAGGTTGGTCCCTGCCACGACCCCGCTTTGCAACTCATGCCCACAGACATGCCCACAGCTGCCAGTCACCCCCGGACAGGGCTCCTGGGCATGTGTAAACATTGTTTTCTGTGGCCCTTTTTGCTGATTTTTTTGTGCTGGCAAGCTACCTCCTAGCCCATTCCCCCACATTTTTCATGAAACAGTGAACTCTTCCATTCTTGGAAAATTTTGCTTACACAATAACCTTGTGTGCAAGAGAAACCACCTAAGACTGACTTAGGTGTAAGCAGGCAAAGCAGAACGGTAGAGGTTATATCTTAGTCCTGCTCTCCTTCATTTGTATGTTGTTGGGCTGCTAAGTCAAACTACAACTTGATGGAGTATCTGGTTAGTTTTGTCATGGTGCAGTTGACCAGAGATTTCCCTATCTGCAGGCATCCATTTTGATATGTGGTCACTATTACAATTAAATGAAGTGCAGAATTTCTTTCAAAGTCTCATTTCTTGACAGTTGCAATGTCCAACTGTGTTATAGCTCCAGAAGAGAAAGGTGATGTAGCAAACTAAGTATTCTGTGTTTTAGTCCCTACAGATATTGTCCTCTTGGTTGACAGCTCTGACACTATGGAACCTTCATCTCTCCCCTATGTGAAAAAATTTATGATCCGTATGATTGACAGCCTTATAATAGAGCCTAACAAATTTCGGCTGGCACTAGCTCAGTACAGTGACGATTTTTCCACTGAATTTATGCTGGACACTTACAGAAGAAAGGGTCCTATGGTGAAGCATATCAGGAATGACTTTACATTTCGTGGTGGGAGTTCAGTGCAAATTGGAAATGCCCTCAATGAGGCCTATGAAACCTTCTTCCAAAAGTCAGCACACGAAAAAGAAAAGCAACAAATCATTGTGATTTTGACATCAGCACCTTCAGAAGATGATGTTCAAGAAGCTGCCAGAAGCTTGAAGAGTCTTGGAGTAAAGATAATAGCTATAGGGACAAAAGAAGCTCCATATAATGAACTTTTTGAGATGGCCACCCCACCATTTCATTACAAAAATCCAGTGATAGAGGAGCTGCCTAAATTCTCAGAATATATGCCACAGATCATTGATGATATTACACAAGTAAACATCAGAGACTTAATAAACATACCTGATTACAATGACATAGCTGTGCAGGAAGGTAAGCTGTGCTGCTTCATGTCAGTCTCATAGAGACCAATGATCATTTTCAGTGTTTTAATGAAAAAAAAAATCAGAAAAATTGGACTATATTGCATTTTATTTCCAAATGTTAAGATAACTTTTGTGTAGCGTTAAAAAAGAAACATCAGTTAGTGAATATTTCACCTGATCTTGCGGCTAGATATCAGGTTCTGAATGCTAGTTCAATATTGCATGTGTGATCTGTGATGTATATTGTGTGGTCTGTACAGAGAGGCAGCTGGAAGAGCGAGAAAACGAAAGAGCACATCAGCTGTGGGCTCTTCCTTCAAGGAGTAGGCTCCTTACCATTCAGCTGGACTAAAGCAAAAGCTCTGTGGCAGACAAAACGGGAAGGCTGCTTGTGGTCTTAATTTTTCTCTCCCCTCTTTAGACTCCTCCTGCTTTTTAAGTGTGTATTGCATTTCTGAAATACAGGTTTTGGCATACACAGTAGACTGCACTGGAGCTTTAGTGCATGCCATATTCCTTCCCTAACTGTATCCTCAGTGAGAGCTGTAAGAGAGTCAACAGGAATGCAGGCTGTCAAGCAGCACAGTAAATTTCTGTGCTGAAGATCAGACTTTGCTGATGTAGGGAACTTCTTACAGATAGTATGACAGTGCATAATTTTCATATTTTGTTTTACAGTATTAGAGTTCCACAGGATGAATGCTTTTGCAGGGAATTAGAAGATATTACTCTGAGATTAGGGCAGCTTTTTATTACTGTTTTTACTTTTTAAATATTTGTCAGCTAGAGGGTCCTAAACCACGCATTCCTTGCGTGGAATAAACATTATTTTCCTGGAGTTTTTCTACCATCCAGAGGGACATTAGGAAAGAAAGGAGGGGAAGTGTTATGATTTGTTACAGGAGAGAGTGAGCACGCCAATTGATCTCATGTCCCATTTCAGGCAACGCCTGTGCAGTTGTGCTGCTTGGGGGCAGTGCGACTTTCACTGCTTTGAGCAGTTCTGGCTGGCAGTTGTTTCACCCAGCTGCCTAATCTCTCCTTGGTAAGAGCTGCAAAGTAAGAGAAATGTACATTTTTAGCTGTATGCAAATTTCCTAAATCTGGAGAAAACTTCTGTGGCATACACCTATTTTTCCACCTTGTCTGAAAGGGCTAAAGTAGACAAAGGTTGTGTAGGGTTTCCTTTAAAAAAAAATCACTAAACTTTTTTTTTTCCTCTGTGTCTTATGCCATTCTTTGAAAAATTGGTTTCCATTTCCACAACAACTGATATTTAAGGGTCTATAAGGGTCTATGAAGAATTAGTTAGTTGGAGCAGAACTCCTGTGCTGGGTGAAATGTGAAATATTTTGAAATATGAACTGAATCCAGGCCCTTGATATTTGTAACTGAAAGAAGGCACAGGGAAGAAATTGTTTTCAAGAATTCAAATTCTGAAAGAGATCACATAGTTGAAAGCATTTTCTTTATTTGGAGTAATGTAAAGAATTCATTTCCTTAATACGAAATGTAAGATCTCAGCATTTCCTCTAAATAAAGTTACAGTCTGATCTTGAGGAATCATGGATGTGGCAGCCTCTGTTAAAGTCAGCAAGAATTTCAGGTGCTGGGCAAGTCAGCATTTGTCTAGAATCTTGTTAGTTCAATATTGTAACAGTGAAAAGGCTTTTTTAAAAAGTGAAAACTATGTAGACCAGGTTCTAGGTACAGAAACTGTTTAAGCTTTTCTATTTCTGTCCCCGGACTATTGCAAAGTGAGCACTATGTCACTTTATTGCCTCAACATTGTGTTTTTTGTGTCTGGAGACATAGTTTAACATTGTTAATGCTATGTTTTTGTGTGGCCTCTGCAGATACTACGGATATTGTCCTGCTGCTTCCTGGCCAACAGGACACAGAAAACGACGCATTTGCTTACATGAAAGACTTTATTAGCAAACTGATACGTGATCTGCCACTGGAATCTAACCAATACCGTCTTGCACTTGTCCAGTACAATGATGATGTTCATGAAGAGTTTGAACTGGGCAAATATAAAACAAAGCAGCATATGTTGATGCATGTGCAAGAAATGCAAGCATTGCAAGGTGGGCTGCTAAAAACTGGCAATGCCCTCCGTTACATTTATGAAAGGTATTTCAAAGAACCAGGTAATGGAGCAGATAGAAATCAGGTTTTAGTTATCCTGTCTTCTTTGCCTTCTGAAGATGATGTGGAAGAGTCAGTGAAAATGTTACAAGACAACGGAGTAAAAGTGATAGCCCTTGGGATACATGAAGCTGTGATGCAACAACTGGGCTTGATGGCTACGCAGTCATTCTCTTCTTATTTTCCTAAGGAATGGGACCTCCCTATGTTTTCTAAAAATGTCTCCAATATTATTGCAGAGTACCAGATGGATAGCATTAAAGAAGTAGAAGGTAAGAAAATCAATAATGTGGGAGATGACATCTAAGGACTTAGACCTTCAGTCTGATGCTAGCCACTCTAGGCCTGATGTACCTTTTAATCTCCAGCAACTTGTGTAACATTCAAGTTACACAGGCTGCTGAAAAACAAAGAATAGGAATGTGTTAGCCAGAGTTTGAAATACTTTGCGTAGCCTTAGCAGGTTTTAAAATAGGGAAGTAAAAATATGGATGAGATGGACATACTCTCATGCCCATGAAGTTTTGCACTTGGCATTATTCTTTAAACTTGGTGCTTTTACATGTGTAGGTGTGTGTGAAACGCTTGTACTCTCTGATACTAAAAGGAATAGAGATGAAGAAGTCATCTTTTTTTTGCTTTTACTCGGTAATTGATACGACTAGTATCTGTTAATGAAGCACAACTCCTTATATAACTATGGACCCTCCACAACTAGTAAATTAATGAATAGTCTCTGAGAACCTTTAGCAATTGTGAATTAAAGGAGTTATATTACTCTCTATTATCAAATCCTTATGGTACAGCTGAGAAACTTACACTTTTCATGTAGCTTTGAAAATAGGTTTGCGTATTGGGATTTTTCTTGTATATATACAGAGAGAGATCAGATGAGTGATTAAAAAATAAATAACCCTGTATTTGAAGATCTTTAGAATGCATGGTTTGACCAATATCCTTACATATGTATCTTCTTGATCAATACACTAGATTATACGTGCAAGAGTTGAAGTTACAAGAATATGCTTCATATAAAAACCGTAAACACTTCTGCTATTATATCTCCTAGCTTTTTCTGGTCTTTTGGTCTTTTAACTTAAAATGAGGTTTTATCAGTTTGTCTTTTGGTAGCTTGTCATCTTTGGTTAAAATACATTTTTACAAACTTGTTTTACTTGAAAATAAAGCAGAAAACCTAGTCTTAGAAAAAAAGCCTACCCAACAGTCCATAGTTAGTTACTTATAGAAATAGCACAGAAGACGGCCACTAACATTGTTTTGTTCTCATCCTTTTTCCATTGCAGTATGTGAGGGAGATTTGGTTGCTGACATTGTGTTTATAGTTGATCATGGTACTTCAAAGTCAAACTTTGAAGAATTAAAAAAATTCCTGCAAAACCTAACAGCCTCACTTGATGTGAGGGAGAAATGCATAAGAATTGGCCTGGTGACATACACTGATGGACAAGAAGTGGTGTCTCGTCTGAACACAGATACAAACAAAGCTGAAATTCTGCAGATAATAAAGGACCTTTCTGCTGGGTCAGGAAAAGCCTACACTGGTGCAGCTATTAATGCCACAAGACTAAAGCTCTTTACTGAAAGTGCTGGGAGCAGAAAGAAGCAAGGGGTAGAACAAATAGCTGTCCTCGTTACCCACAGACTCTCTCGAGACAATGTAAGTGATGTTGCTACTCTTCTGCGGAGAAGTGGTGCCACAGTGTTTGCCTTAGGTATTGAAGAGGCTTCTTATCGACAGCTGGTCCAGATAGCCTCTTATCCTCAAGAGGAGCATGTTACCAGTCTCAAGGTGTTTTCTGATCTGCAAAGGCAAAATACAATTTTTCGAAAGAAGCTCTTGAATCAAATACAAAACAAGCTGTATGTCCACTCGGAAAGAAAAGAGATTATCAAAAAAGGTAAAGCTTTCCAAATAACTGGTTCTTTCAAGGTTAAGGGGTTCTAACTGAAGACTATCCTGAAATATGATTGAGGTTTTGAGAACCTTCTCACATTCTCAAACTGAACTTTTCAGTTTGAACCTTTGAGAAGAGGAATTTAAATATAAAGTTGAACATGGATTCACATTTTTCTCATTTGCATACTGCTAGAGTTTAGTAGTATTAAAAGCCTGTTTATTTGTACCATTACTGAATAGGAAGGACTAATACTGGCAGAAACATCAACTGTTCCTGTTAGGTATTAAGTTAAAAACCTACTAAGGAACCTTAGAGCTTGATCTGTTGGAAGATGCTAGATCTGAATGAAATTTCCCTAGGAATGTTAACCTTCCAGTCAGTCTATGCTTTATTTTGATCAAACCTAGAAAACAGATGAGAATGTGTACATGATGGAGTTTTTGGCAGATCTTAAGCCATCAGGGTGTATATCCTGGAAAGAAATGAGGTGGCTGAAGTTTTCAGACAAATCTAGAAGTAGTAATAACAACAGACCAGCTTAGATATTTTATTAACAATTTCCAGTGGATTTATGCTTAAGAGCGCTAAAAGTCAGTGGCTTCCTGCTGTGGACTCTCAGAACATTAAGTGGACTGCTGCTGGTCCATGGAACCTTATTCAACAGTAAAACCAGTCCTACTGGCTAAACATTTAACATGGCTATGTCATGATGCAGGGTGAATTCTGATGTTTGATAGAAGTGGTACTCAGAAGTCAGGGAACTTCTGGAGGTAGTTGCTTAAAAGCATTTCAGTTGTGTTTGAAAAACTCCGAGCTATCAGTTTTGTTTTCTGTGAGGAAAGCAGTCATATAGCCATGGATAAATAGTGGGTTCTTTTCTTGATGCCATGCCTAAGATACCTAGCAGGTTAAGTTTGCCAAATTTTTGTTAACAGATAGAGAGGCTTATCCATGTGTTAGTTCACCATGTATTACAAAAGGAGTGGAGATAGGTGATCTGTCCATGTGCACAACAGTGATGTAACAAATACTTTCTCATTCCACATAGGATGCCTGGACACAGAAGCAGCTGATATTTATTTGCTCATTGATGGTTCATCAAGTGTTCACTACCGGGATTTTGTGGATATGAAGAATTTTATGAAGGAAATGGTTAGGCTGTTTGACATAGGCATAAATAAAGTTCGATTTGGACTCGTGCAGTTCTCACATTTCAATACACTAGAGTTTAAACTTGATAAATACACTTCAGCAAGTGATCTGATAAAAGGGATTGAAAATGCTCAGCAAGTAGGTGGAAATACCAATACAGGGGCAGCTCTAGCTTACATGAAGCCGTTGTTTGAAGAGGCCAGGAGACCAGCAGTGCCTTGCCATCTAGTTGTTCTCACAGACGGAATGTCAGATGACAGCGTGAAGGAACCGGCCATGAAACTCAGGGAAGACCAAATTAACATTTATGCCATTGGTGTGAGGGGAGCTAATGAAACTCAGCTTGATGAGATTGCAGGAGTGAAAAACAGAGTGTACTTTGTACATGATTTTGACTTGCTGAAAGACATTAAAAATAAAGTCGTCCAAGAGATCTGTACCATAGAAGGTAAGACCATGCTTTCACTTTGTCCTGACAACACAGAAAATAAGCAGATTCCTTTTGATTTGATAGAGAAGTTATTTCATTAATAATGCAAGATACCTTTTTTCTAGCTTGAACAATTTCACTGTCAGTTGAAGTTTTCAGAGGGTGATGGTGATTTTTGTGTTGCTTAAATGTTGACCAATATCATGAAAAGGTCTTATTTCCAGAAAACACCAAGTATCTCTTGCCTGAATATTACAGACTTGATTCTCTGGTTGCCCTGAGATACCCCATTTTTGGAAGTGTTCAAGGTCAGCTTGCTCAGACCTTTGAGCAACATGATCTAGTGAAAGCTGTACCTGCCTATAGTAGGGGGTTGGACTAGATGATCTGTAAAGGTCCCTTCCAACCCAAACCATTCTATGATGCCATGATTCTATGAAATTGAGCTATTAATGTCAAAGGCACCCAAAATCACATATTTTGGGTAGAACAACTAGGTCTGTGAATGTATCTAATTTTGAACATATCTTTCTTAAAGCTGGCTATTGAACCTGCTGTTTTCCTTACCTCAAGCAAGCCAGTCTCTTTTCTCAGGAACAGATAGGTACAGCATATCCCTCAGATAGGATTCTAGAATTGAGATGTACGGAAGTCAAAATAAGATAGTTTTACAATTTAAAGTAATGATGTAGAAATAAGTATTCTCTAAACAGTAGCATTCACCAGGAAACAAGCAAAGATTGTGTTGCACTAATACCTCCATCCCCGCTTTATTACTTACAACCCTGTAAAACATTAACAAAAAAATGTGCTTAAATGTGACCCACCAGGGTGCAAGCTGTCTGTTTGTACTGTTTGGCTCACTTCTTTCTGTAAAACAAGTTGCTGTTTCCTGCCTCACTGAAATGAAGGGAAAATACTCAGGTTTCTCAGGCTTCGAAACTTGACCATCAACAGGCTTTAGATTTTTATTTTCGAAATTCCTTGCTGATCTTAAGATGTTGCTTTAGTTGTTTGGCTGTGATTTAATCCTGACTGATCGAATTGCAACTGATGAAGTTAATAATGTCCTTGTTCAGATCTGAGGGGGTAAAGTATTTTAGTCGCAGTCGTAACTTACCAAGGAACTAATAAAATCTGGACTTTGAACAGGCTTATGGTGAATTTTGTTCTTTCTTTTGTGTTTCTGGAGTTATTCTGTCTGTTTAACCTCTTCATTTTTTCTCAAAAAAATGTAAAAAACCCCAAGCTTAAAAATCTTTTTTTCCTTGACAGCCTGCAAAGAAATGAAAGCTGACATTATGTTTCTAGTGGACAGTTCTAGAAGTATTGGAAATGAGAATTTTCAGAAAATGAAAAACTTCATGAGAGGGCTGGTGGACAGAACAGATGTTGGTGCAGACAGAGTGCAGATTGGTGTTGTCCAATTCAGCCGTGAACCAAAGGAAGAGTTCAAGCTCAACAGCTACTCCACCAAAAGAGATGTTCTCAGTGCTATTGATAGGCTATCTCCCCTTCATTCCACCACACTGACAGGAGAAGCACTGAAGTTCATGCTTAAATACTTTCAAGCCAGTAGTGGTTCACGTCATGCAGTTAAAAAAGTTCTCATCCTGATCACAGATGGGAAATCGCAAGATGAAGTTAAAGCCCCTGCCACAGTACTGCGAGATAAAGGCATTAGTATCTACTCTGTTGGAGTTTTTAATGCAAACAAAACTCAGCTTGAGGAGATTAGTGGGAAGCGTGAGATGGTATTCTATGTTGAGAATTTTGATATTCTAAACCAGCTAAAAAGCGACCTCATTTTTGACATATGCAGTAGGCCTCCAGATGATGGTAAGTATGGTAACCTTCAGTGATTTATTAATGCATGAGCAATCACAGGGGTTTTGTTCTGAACTTATTATGATCAAATGTCACAGTCCCAGAGCTGGCTGCTTCTCTGTCCTAGTGTTAGTTTGTCTCACGTGAGTTCTCTGCTTGCCATTGCTCTGTCTCTGAGGGGGGCACTTCACAGGTCTCCTAGGGTACCACTCTGGGTCACAGGGCTCTGACCACTCTGTTCACACCCAGGAGGTCTAGCTGAATGCAGGTGCTTCTGATTCTTTCCCTTGGGTGTATGAGATTAGACACCTACCCAGAAAAGTATGGGTCTTTACATAGGGTGAAAAAAGCTTACAGAGAAAAGGCTTCACTCACTCCTTCCTTTGAAGTCTAACTGTCATCTCATTATGCACGCCTTTCAGCTGCTATTTCTGTGGACTTAACACAGGGGCAAGAAAGGGAGCTTCTGGTAACTCAGTCTCGTTTTTTTCTGAGTAGCAGTGTCGGAAGGGTCCACACGGTCACTGAATGCAGTTCTCTGAGGCCAGAGGCAATCAGTGTCTTTGGCAAGAGTACATCTGTGATCCCACTTGAAATTTCTTATTCTTCTGTGTTCCCAAATGTTGCCCTTTCTGGACAAAACCAGTTAAGAATTTACACCATTCTCTTCTTTGATTATTTCACCCCACTACCCCCCACTCCCTCCTGGCCCCCCCAGTTTAAGTGAATGTAGTCATATTAAACCACACTGGCAGGCAAGCTTGCGCACAGTATTTATAATCTTTATACAGACCTGGCCTACTAAGTGAACTGGGTGTTTTTTTCTTGGGATGATACCCTTAGCTGAGGGTGTAAATGGGGAAAGCAATCAGGCTGCAAAAAGAAGCAGATGAGATGTCCTGCTGCCCTGGGCTCTCATGGGTGTCAGCCATGTGTGCAAACATGAAATAGGATTTTAAAAAACACTTGAGTAGCAGCTATGCATTGTCTGACTCAGTTGCACTAAGGCATACCGAGTGTTGCTGTGACAGTGCAAAAGATCTTAAAGGGTGTGTACTTTCTCATCTCTTTGCTATAGAATGGTAGCATATAGAGTAGCTTGGATTCACAGTTGCTGCCTCAGTCATGGAAATCGCACTTATTTAAAAGAGGTGGGGTTGACTGTTGAGTTCAGTACTGAATTCTACCCAGCATCCAGTTTCTGAGCTTTCAAAACTCCCTTTCTTCGCCTAGAGGTGAGAGGCAGCGGGATAGTGGGGAGAAGAGCAAGGTGTAGGGCATGCGAGGGTGATTTATTCAGAGTCCTAAGAGGTCCAAACAGTCAGTGTTCAGACATGTGGCTATGTCTTTGCTCTACTGCAATACAGAACTTGCAACTAAGGAGAGTTTTTAAATACTACTACAATTAGCCAAGATGTTAAGTGTCATTTTTTCTTCTCGGCAGTTCTGGGAAAGGCATCAGTAGCTTATATAGTGAGAAAGATCAGGTGTCAGAGAAGGGAAGCTTGAAATATAATGAGTCACCAGCTATCATCTGTGCTGCTCTGTATGTCTGCAACTGGGAGAACACTGCCCTTTAGATGGACCAGACTGTTCTCCCAACAGGGAGTACGCTGGAGGAAGGGTGTTAGCCCAGCTCTTCAAAGCAATAATCTACAACACTAAGACTGTAGGAGGGAAACCCACTATATGTTTAATTCAGATATGAAATAAACATTTGGGGTTTTTCTGCTAGATGTTAAGTATGAACTGACAAAATGTCCTGTATGCAAGAGGGAAGAAAGTTTCAGTTAATACTCATATCCTGTGGAAGGATAGCTTTATATATTGTAAGCTAATAGAAATATTTCCACAATATCAACTGAAATATGACAATTAGTTTGCTCTGTAAGCCTTGTACTGTGATGTCCAGAGCAAAAGGATAGCATTTTTGATAACTAAGAAATCATTCCATTTATTCTAACTCTGCTCTGATTGCTGGAATCATGAAGTTCACACTGAACAGTCTCAGAAGCAACAAGAATCTGTCATACGTGCAACTTATTGATAGTAACAAGACAGGTATCTGTGCAAACTCCATTCAGATACCAAAATTATATAGACATTGCATAGAACTCTGAGAAATGGACTTGAGTTATAATAATCAGTAAGATTCCGCATAATTTTACACATGAAATTTTCACTTTTCTCAATTTGCTTTTACAGAATGCAGAAGAGTGGAACGTTTAGACATTGTGTTTGTTATGGACAGCTCTGGAAGCATAAGCTCCATACAATACCAGGCCATGAAAGACTTCATGATTACCCTGGTGAAACAGTCTGATGTCGGCCCAGATGGAGTTCAGTTTGGAGCACTGAAATATTCTGATGAACCTGTAGCGCTCTTCTACCTCAATGAGCATACTACAAAACCGGGTATTACTGAGGCTATCCAGAGAGATGACCCTCTAGGCCAAGCAACTTACACAGCAAAGGCACTGGACCATTCAGAAATGTTCTTCAGTGAAAAACATGGCAGCCGCAAGAGCAAAGGAGTTCCTCAGGTGCTGATAGTGATAACTGATGGGGAATCCAATGATGAAGAGATGCTGGATGATGTGGCCCAGAGATTAAGGAACAAAGGAGTTACCATCTACGCAGTTGGAGTAGAAGGAGCAAATCGAGCTGAGCTTTTGACAATGGCTGGATCAGAGGACAAATGTTTCTATGTGGATACCTTTGAAGGACTTGAGAACTTAACTGCAAACATAACAAATAATATGTGTAATATATCAGTATCAGGTAAGTGTATACTCACTATTGGCTGTTGTGTTCGACTTCCTCTTCCCCTACTACTGTGTTTGAAGAAAAGTCTTGCAGAGGCCTCTATGAGATCAATACAGATAACATAATCTGTTCTGATTAATGTCACTTAAATTACAGTCATCTCTGTTTCCTGCTTGTTCGCTTCAGCTCTTTTAGTGGCTACTCTTTCCTACCTTCTCCTTCTGCCATCTTTCTGAATGAAAGTAGCTATGGCTGCTGCGCTGTATTTGAAGTTGGTCCTTTCGGGCTATGGTTAGCATACTTTAGTTCTTGGACAAGAGAGGCACCTCATCTGTGAATCCTGAAGAGTCTTAATCTTGTATATACACACAGGATGGGAATTATCTTACTTAGCGTTAGCTGTCTATACTTGTCATGTCTAGTCACCATAGTTTCCCTTTCTGAGAAGAATGGAGACAAACGGGCATTTTTGGTGTGTGAGTCACCTGACCTCTTTAGACATTTGCATGAGGCTGAGATGAAATGGGCCTTTGCCCTGTGGACATTTGGTTAGGCCAATGTAACTTTGTTTGTTCAGTAGGTAAGAGGGAAACGTATCTATGGTTTTCTGCAACATACATGCTTACAGGAGTACATTTTGAGTTCTGGGACTAGATATCAGAATTTCCATGTACAGTACATTTTATGTGCTTAACTTTCTTTTTGTAGATATTTGTTGGGGTTTTTTGTCAATAGTAGGATGTGGGAGGTGGAGGCATGATTACTAATGGTAGACATGGAATTGTATGCTTTATTAATAATATCTTTTCCTTTATCTTCTGCAGACTGTCCAAAGGAAGCAGATGTTATTTTCCTGGTGGATGGTTCCAGAAACATAGATGAAGAAAACTTAAGGATAATGATGGACTTTGTGACAAGTGTAATCAATCCAGCTGTTATTGCTCAAAATACCAAAATTGGCCTTGCGCTGTATGGTGGTGTCTATAAAGAAGAGTTTAATTTACGCTTTTTTCCAAACAGATCAGAACTAGAATTTAAAATTCAAAGCATCAAACAAATTCAAGGACACAAAATAAATATTGAAAATGCACTTGAGAAAGTGAAACTCAGCTTCCAACCAGAAAAGGGTAGCAGAATACATGAAAATGTCCAACAGATTTTAGTTGTAATAGTTGCTGGACGAACAACCAGTAGATCTGCAAGAGCAGCAGAAAGCCTGAGGAAGAAAGGCATTGACATATATGCCATAGGTGTGGGAAATGTTGATCAGTCACAGCTAACACAGATAACTGGATCATCAAGTAGGAAATATGTCGTTGATGATTTTTCTAAGTTGAAGACCATAAAGAAAAGACTGGTTGATGTTATTTGTGAGGATGATAGAAAAGGTAAACATCCGTGAACTAAACTGTTCTAAGATCTCTGTGTGCTGGTTTAAGTATGCTTCCCAGTTAGAGTAGTTCTTTAGAAAACATTTGGTTGATCTTCTGCAACACTCTGAAAACAGAATAGAAAAATTCTTCAGACTCACATGAAGATAATTATCTCTATGGAATAAATTAGCTACATCCAGTCTCTCTAAAATTGCTGAAAGAAGTGACCTGAACATTTTCTCTTTGCTCCCTCCATAGACTAAAGGATATGAGCTGACAAACAAATAGCACCTGCGTCAGTTTGCATTGTGTTAGCTTCTCCCTTGTTGCCCATGCAAGTACTCTCCTTCCTGGTACATAATGTAGTTGCCATTTTCTCCCTTTCAGGAAGGGTAAAAAGACACGTGTGAACAGTTACTCTGAATTTAGTAAGTTTTCTGCAAGCTCACACCCTACTGTACTCCTCATTAGCTTATCCATGTACTTATGTTCTCATTTCTGCAAATTTGAGCTGATGGATTCAGATCACACAATCCAGGCTTGAAGATTTTAGTTTTAATTGTTTAAACTTCTATCTGAACTTCAGAGTATATAATTTTCATCTGCTTCCTTATTCAAAGTACAGTTTTAGCACTTTCAAATAGGTTTAGCTTCTGGGTTAGCAGCAACTGTGATGCCATATCATCCAAAAACTGATTTAAAAAAATTTGAAACAGTTACAACTATTGCAGAGTAGAAATAAAGTACTACTAGCAATAGTTATAATTTTTATAAATGTGTATTTTCTTTTCTCCTGAGTTGCAGAGAGAAATGATATGAGAAAGACATTAATCTCATAGAATACTCATGCAGTGACTCAGTCATACTACATATTAGAGTGACCTCACATCTAATTACACAAGGGACACGGTGGCAGTACTTCTCACTTTGTGGCATGTGCTTTCCTTTTGCTACTGGTTTTCCCATTACCTCGCATGCAGTGAGAAATTATGCTAAAATGCATATTGAGAGTTGGGCGCCCCCGATCTGTCTGCTAACTGTGCAGAGCTGCCCTTGCCACAACGAATGTGCAAGGACAGGTATAAAGCATAATGAGGAGCAAAGAAGGGAAGTGATTTGGTATTGACCCAAATCTTAAACATTAGGCATAGCATTTGTTTTGAAGTAGTGAGAATACTACAGCAGTTGTGTTAACTCTGCAGCACAACATGTTAAAAACAAACAGCCCTCTGACCTGCTTAATTGCCTGTAGCTGGGGAATAAGAGGAAGGAAGGGACAAAAACTGAGACGTACCTCCAGTGAAATAATTTCTGAAACTGATGCTGATATTGCTATTAAGAAGGATGGGCTCTCAGATTTGTGATATAAGCATAATTACAGAACACATTTTCAGTTAAAGGCATTTCGGGATTTTTAACATGTTTCTCTAGAAATTATAATTTGTCTGAACATGTCTCTGAATGAATTAGAGACCTAATGATTCATTTTAGATAATCTACCTAAGACTTGGAGATGACAGATTCCAGCACTTCCTGCCTACTTAGCTGATGTGCATTGGTCTTCCCTTGTGTTCTTTCTCTTCTGTTTTTCTTTACATGAAATGAAAATTGTTTGATGCATTTATTTATGATTTTCCCAACAGTGGCTTGTTTTGTGGATATCACTTTGGGATTTGACATCTCATCACAGAGGGAAGGCCACCACTTATTTCATGGACAGACCAAACTGGAAAAACATTTCCCTGAGATTTTGCAAGCCCTCCTGTCACTAAGGGGTGTGAGCTGCAATGTTGGGTCCAAGGTACAGAGTAGCGTGGCTGTTCAAGTGAAGAATACTGTTACTCCAATATCTGCAAAGTTCTACATTGACAGTGAATCTATCTGGCATAACCTGTCAAATGCTGTGATCAAGAGACCATCCCAACTTAATGTTGAGCTCTTGCAGTCACTCTGGGAAACGTTTCAGAAAAAGGATGAGACCCGACAAAAGGTAATGTGATGACTTAGGCAAAATCCTTTAGTCAAAATTGTGTAAGAAAGATCAAAATACAATTGTTCTTTGCTTCTGTGTGATTAAAATTGTCTCTTTTATGTCTTTGTAGGTATTACTTGTGTTTTCAGATGGTGTGGATGATGACTTAGAGGCACTTGAACAAAAATCTGAAGAACTTAAAAAGAAAGGTATCTATTTTAGAAAAGTCAGATTATTTAATTTCTCAGGTGGCCTAGCAATGGGGTGAGAAGAAGTATTTGATTTTTTTTCTGCAGAAAGAGGAGAGGAAGATTAGCAGCAAATAAAAGGAGTTATAGTCTCAGGTGCTCAGTCAATATAAATCAGAACATTCCCATTGAAGTCAGATTGACAATGCCAGATGAGACTGTCCTCCCAGCTTGGCCCTTATCTTTGTCTGCGGCCAGTAGTGGATGTTTCAGAAAAAACCTAGTACCAGGGCTACGTAAACAGTAATGCTTCTTTGGGATGGCTTCCCCATTTAGAGATTTTATGATCTGAAACAATCTTTCTTAAAATGTTATCTGTTATCACCCAAAAACCTAGCAGAGTGGGGAGAAAATAGATTGAGTAGTTGTCTTCCTCCCTGCCCTGTAGGCTTCAGTGTCTGCATCAGCACCTGATTTCAGAGCCCAGGGTCAGAGAGGTAGAGCAGGAGGAATGGAGAAGCTGCCGCAGGCAGAAGCTGCCACAAGCTAAGCCCCTCTGATGTGTGCATGCAAGAAACAGTGAAAAACAGAACTGGAGATGAAAGGGCTAGATTCGCTAAAGATAGATGGAAGGGCTTCTCAACTGGTACCAGTACCCTTGGTGTGTGCTTGTCCCTAATCCCATACAGACATCTGTTGTCTCATGTCTGTTGTATCTCTCTTGTCCCAACAACAAACTTGCAAAGAATTCCCTGTTCTGAAAAGTAGGCAAGTGGCGAGAGTGGAGTACAAGGGTGACAAGCGCAGGCAGTAATACCGAGCATAACAGTCCTTTGTAGCAAATATACTATTAACTGCAGAGCAGTAATAATGGGGAGAACATGAGTCTCTTTTGACACGATGGCAGCTGCATGGGAAAGATGAGAAGGTGGATATGCCTAACAGCTCGCTCAGCTGAACCAAAGACTGTTTTTCTTGGGGTGCTGCGTATTGTTGGTCAGTTGTCCTGTGTCAATAAGTAAATTAGGTGTAGAAGTGTGATTTGGGATTGAGTTTTAAAATACATTTTAAAATAAATTTTAAAATATCTTTGGTCTTAGGTTTGGATGTCTTCTGTTTGTTTCTGTTGTTTTGTACCTTCATTTGCTGGGGCTATGCAGCATCATTCAGCTAAAGACTGCTCTTGTCTCTGTTCAAGTGAGTCAGGAGTCTGTCTGATAGATTTAGGGACCTTAAATCAAAGTAAATTCAGTTTGTTTGGATTTGAATCTGCTGATATTGCCAGCTGTGTTGTGCAGCTGTATAAAAGGGACTCAGGACCAAGCCAGAAACCTGGGAAAATACTGCTTGTGGCTATTGCTGTGACCAGCATACTCCTCTGTGTGTTTGGTTCCTTCCCTAAGTCTCACCCTGGAATTGCAATATAACTGCATTTTCAACTGAATTGTTGCCTCACTGTGCTTTTTGCCCTTACAAAAGGAAATAGACTTTTCTCTGTTGTTTCTCTGAATTATCTGAGTTCAAGGGCAGCACTTCAGGACATTACTGCATAGGATATCTCTTTGCCTCTTGCTTTGCAAGCTCAGGAAGTGTCTTGTGGCCACAGACTTATTCTAATTTCACACCGGTGTCATTCTAGATCAATGAAAAGACATGCATTCTTACAGTAAAACTGGGCTGGAGAAACAGAATTCAGATCTGTAATTTCTCTGATGGCTGCCTCAGCTTTAGATCTGCTGTTGTAGCAGAAGGAATGATGACTTGGAACCACCAATATTTGTTACTATTTAATGTAAAAAGAAATGCAACCTAAAACTTCTGTTTTCCCTAAGAGCTACGTGATTAAGTGAATATTTATGTTGCCACCCAAAACAACCATATGATCTTGAATCATTAATCATTATTCATATAGGAAGATTTTTATGTTGAGCCTTTTATTGGCTGCTCATTGTCACTAGCACCTCATTTGAATCAGTACACCATCAAAAGTGCACCTTTACAGCTGGTAGGTATCTTTCACCTGATGCATGGGAATATCATATCACATGATGCATGTATAGATAAGGTACAGAAACCATTTTTCAGTGGAATTTATATTTATTTTCATATTTATCATAATTAGGTTTGGATGGTCTTATCACTGTTGCTCTGGAAGGAGCCTCCAATATTCAAAACCTCCGATCCATTGAGTTTGGAAAAGGATTTGAATATGGAACTCACTTAGATATTGGCATGACAGATATTGCTAGCAGGCTATCCAAGTTCTTGGTAAGTTATTTGATAAAGAACCAAGGTACACAGTAAGATCTTGGGTAAAAGAACTGTACAATCAGACCATAAGTATCAATTTTGGTAAATTTGACTAATAAAAGCCATGCTATTAATAGAGCATGGAGTCCACTTGTATTCTTATGGTGAGTGCTTCTGTCAAGAACAGGAGCAGAGCCAAGAGGAAATTTTTGGAAAGTACATTTTCGTCAGCAGTAACTTCTTCTTTTTAAGAACAATATTGCTGAGAGGACCTGCTGCTGTTTGTCTTGCAAATGTACTGGGGAAGAAGGTGAAATTGGAGGTATGGGACCACAAGGGATAAAGGTAAGAATACATCCTAGCTTTGTATTGCTAACCTTGAGTTGTAAATAATGATGTAAAGATGTTTGCCTACCTGTTTTATGGCATGATTGTGGTATATGTTCCGAAATGACAATATACCCTCTGTCTAACAATGCAGGAGAAGTAATCAGTCATTAGTTATGAGCAGTATGGAGGTTGGAGAACATTTCATAATTGATGAGCTTGTCTAAAGATTCTGATACTGGTGTTGCTCAGCAACTTGCTTGTTTTTCCCTAAAATGTGTGTCTTTCAGAGACCTCTATTCAGAGCCATCAGGAAGTTCCTAATGACTGCTTGTGTTTCTAATGACTGCATTATTTAAGAGACTTGCAACAACTTAGGGTAGCGACTGGTTGTTTCTACAGGATTTCCATATAGAACCAAAATCTCATGAGGGCGTTGCATTTCATTTCAATAGTAAAGATTTCCATTAAAGTCAATGGAAAGATGCCAGTGAAATGCTACAGGCTAGGGAATTAAAAGTTAATCCATACAAACAAGCAACAAATACTTGGAATGAAATTGTTTGTCTTTTGATTTTTATTGTTTTTTACTAACTAGATGTCCAGTTAAGGAATGCAACAGAACCCTCCTAAACCTCAGACATGTGTGACTTTTTTTGTATTCTTTTCCTTTGATGTAGTTAAGAAATAGTGGAAAATCCTGTACTGTAGTTCAGTAGTGTAACATTTAATTCTATTCAATTTTAAGTAACTTATTTTGACAGCTTGAGTAATACTTGAGAGTTCTGTCAAGTGTGTGCATTAGTTCTAACTAAAAACATGCTCTATCATGTGGTTACTTAAAGAATATACTTTTTCAAACCATCAGGAGTGTAAATATGGTAGAAGAATGTCCCCTGTATAAATGAAACATTACTTCATATACAGTCCCAATGTCCCTGTGGACAAACGTTGAGTGTGGTCACTCAATAGTGGGTGTTGCTTCTTACCTGTATGTTTCAGCAGCCATCAACTGCTGAAACAGTTCAGATTTTCAGCCTCCAACAGATGACAAAATGAGCAGCTCAAGCTTATATAGTATTAGTTCACATATATTTTTTGAGCAGATGTAGCTTTATTTTGTCCTCTAGCTCTTCTCTGGTTTTCCAGAGTTAAAGAACTCCCTTGAGTCTTTTCATGCTTATCTTCTTGTCCCCTGCACAGCATCTCTTCTGCCCTTTGTCCTTCTTTCATTATAAACATTAAGCAAAGTCCAAGACAGGTTTGGAGGTGTACTCACAGGACAGCTATGCCCTGCTGCTATTTCTAATGCTCTGCCAGACCAGAAGGTGGGTTCCTGCCTTGCCAGGGCAAACCACAGCCTCTGTCACCTGCCAGCATGGCACCTGTGATCTGATATTTTGTTTAATGCTGTGAGTTTTCGCAGGAAACTGAGTGACCGTAGATGAAAGTGCTCCTTTGCAGCCTCAGTTCACAACCAGAACAAACTTTGCTGTTCCAAAAGACAAAGAACAAAGGAACCCCTTGCAGGGTAGCACTTTGCAGTGCTGATGACTAAGTGGGGTAAAATATAGGGGATCAAACACTCTCTCTTTTTAGCTTTCTCTCTCTCAGGAGAGAGTATATGTGAAGGCTTTTCACTTTCCAAAAAGCTCTTACGAAATACTGTGCCAGGGTCAGCAGCTTCTCCCACCTGGCAGCATACTCTCGGCACACAGAAGAAAACAGCTCCTCACATGAAGCCCTACCTCAGAATTCAGTATGTTAACTGTTGTGCCAGGCTAGATTTTCACTCTCCGAACTTTATAGAATCACAGAGTCACAGAATGGTCAGGGTTGGAAGGGACCTCTGGAGATCATCTAGTCCAACCCCCCCGCCAGAGCAAGGTGACCTACAGCAGGTTGCACAGGACGGCGTCCAGACAGGTTTTGAATATCTCCAGTGTGCAAGACTCCACAACCTCTCTGGGCAGCCTGTTCCAGTGCTCTGCCACCCTCAAAGTAAATGGAACTTCCTATGTTCAATTTTGTGCCCGTTACCTCTTGTTCTATCACTGGGTGCCACTGAAAAAAAGACCATTCCCATCCCCCTGGCACCCTCCCTTTAAGTATTTATAAGCATTGATAAGATCCCCCCTCAGTCTTCTTTTCTCTAGACTAAAAAGACCCAAGTGCCTAAACCTTTCCTCATAAGAGAGATGTTCCAATCCTCTAATCATCTTTGTAGCCCTTTGCTGGACCCTGTCCAGCAGTTCTCTGTCCTTCTTGAACTGGGGATCCCAGAACTGGACACAATACTCCAGATGTGGCCTCACCAGTGCAGAGTAGAGGGGGAGGATGACCTCCCTCGACCTGCTTGCCTTCTTGCAAAAGAGGCCTCTGAATTCAGGTAGGAGCTTTTTGGCCCATGAATCTTTTTTGCACAGGGGAAGGGGAATGAGAGATTGAAAGAATGTTCTCTCTTATCCTCTGTGCTATACAACAAGGGTCACTTAATACTGAAACATTAGGAGCACTCATTAAAGCTGTGTTGAGACTCAGAGTCCAGGACAGCTGTTTCTAGTGCAGCTTTCATCTGTGTGGAATCATAGGACAATGGAAATGCCCCCATTGGATTCAGAGTGGTTTGTTTTGCTGATCATATTTCTCCTAAAACAGTTCTCATAAATGATACACATTTTAAAATACTATCACCACAACTTATTTGTTTACTAGTATCCATGTTTCCTCCTGGGCTCCAAACCGGGGTAAACAGTGCACTCGCAACTCTCGTATAAGGATACGTTACATGAACTCCTTCAAAAATAATTGGACTAGAATTAAAAATAATATGAAAGAACAATGTTAAATCAGAAACATTAAGAAATTTTGTAAGGTTTGTGGTTATAGGGAATATAGTCTGAAAAGAGATCAACTTCTAAAAATCTGCCTGGACTACACAAGGAAGGACTGTACATAGAAGCTCTAAAATCTCTGCCATATCTATTCAGAAGTATCTCCCGACTAACATTTATTTGGGGCTTCTTTTTTAAAGTACAGTCCTTTCTTACAAGGGCAGATATCAGACTCTCTCAGGTCAAATCCTTAGTTTGGCATATGTCAAAAGTAATGGCTTGGAGAAGTCATGTTTTATCCTGTGGGTGACAGTTGCTCTTTGGTCTTCCTCAACATACTTTCCTGCTCGTCCAGACTGAGAAATGTGGAGCCATTAAAGCAATTGATCGCATGCCAGTGTGGAGAAGCTCCAATCACACAATCATAGAATGCTTTGGGTTGGAAGCGACCTTTGAAGAAGGGTTCAACCCTTCTCACCAGCAAAGATGGAAGAGCAATTGATTGACTACTATTGATACAAAAGACATTCAAGAAGAAACTGTTTGAAGCAGAAGTAGCTAATGACGCTTGTTTTCTACCCAAACCAATGAAACGTTCTTCATAAAAATACAAAATAAGCATTTATGTATGAAAGATTATGAATCTTGTACAAGATATTTTTTTTCTATCAGCTTTTAAAGAATCAGTAATTAAGGTATATCTCAGTGTTGTCTTAAAATGTTTAGTTAGTTGCTGGAGACACTTTAAAACTTCAGAAGAGCTTTTCCTGGGGCCTGCAGTGAAAGAAAATTGTTCATCTTGGGACATCTAATAAAGACAATGGGTCACGTTCAAATTCAAATGTGGGACAAATAATGCATTATTGATGACTTAAACTGTTAGTAACATTAGGGGAAACATTAGGAGGAAAATAATCAGGAAATAAGTTATTTGTTATTTAAGTTTTCAGCAGTCTTTGAAGCCCAGAGTAAGCAGAGGGACAGAATATGCAAAGAACAATATATACCCCCATTTAGTTTTGCCTGAATTCCCCATCTTTTTCTGGAATCAACCAAGTATTACAGCATTCTCTCTCATCTTTTAACTTCAGGGACCCAATGGTGTTAAAGGCAACCCAGGATATCCTGGAGATGAAGGAGCACCAGTAAGTTTTAACACTTCAAAAACCTGTGTTTGTGAAAACTAAAACTTTTGAACAGGATT